ATAGCACAATATGTAAAGCAACATGTAGCACAATATGTAAAACAACATATAGAGCAACATGTAGCACAATATGTAAAGTAACATGTAGAGAAACATGTAGCACAATATGTAAAACAATATGTAGAGCAACACATAGCACAATATATAAAACAACACATAGAGCAACATGTAGCACAACATGTAAAACAACATGTAGAGTATCATGTAGATCAACATGTAGAGCAACACATAGAGCAGCAGATGTTTGATTCCTGTTTTGATTGGGTGATGTGGCCGGGTTCATCAGTGCCATCTGAACGGCTGGAGGGAGTTTAAAATGGACTGGAGCAGTTTTATCCAACACCAGTGGTGGCGCCGGGGGTGCTTTGGTGGCTTTGGTCAACATGGATTAATCTTCAGCCACCCCAGTCGTTTGAGGAAACTAAACGTATCAGCAAAATAAAACTAGTTTTCTCAAATGGTTGTGGTGGTCAGTTTACACACACCTAAAGATGATTCTGGTGATGGCCATCTTGGATTTTGACATGGCGACCCAGTCTCTGATAGTGACCCCTCTTATGCCTACATGCAGCCACACCACCAACACTGTTTATAGTGGGGGTGGTGTGCTGCTGACCTCAACTCGGGATGTTGTGGGTTGGTGGGCAGAATACTTTGAAGACCTCCTCAATCCCACGACACGTCTTCCACTGAGGAAGCGGAGCCTGGAGACTCTGGGTCGGGCCCTCCAATCTCTGGTGCTGAGGTCACCGAGGTGGTTAAAAAGCTCCTCGGTGGCAGGGCCCCAGGGGTGGATGAGATTCGCCCGGAGTTCCTTAAGGCTGTGGATGTTGTAGGGTTGTGTTGGCTTATGCGACTCTGCAATATTGCGTGGACATCGAGGGCAGTTCCCCAGTATTGGCAGACTGGTGTGGTGGTCCCCCTGTTCAAAAAGGGGGACCGTAGAGTGTGTTCCAACTACAGGGGGATCACGCTCTTAAGCCTCCCTGGTAAGGTCTATTCGGGGGTTCTGGAGAGGAGGGTCCGTTGGCTAGTCGAACCTCGGATTCAGGAGGAGCAGTGCGGTTTTCGTCCTGGTCGTGGAACACTGGACCAGCTCTACACTCCCACGCACCCTCCAGGACCCTGCTGAGAGTTTGACCAACCAGTCTACATGTGCTTTGTGGACTTGGAGAAGGTGTTCGACCGCATCCCTCGGGGAACCCTGTGGGAGGTACTCTGGGAGTATGGGGTGGGTACCAGGCCCTTTGATATGGGCTGTTAGGTCCCTGTACGACCGGTGTCAGAGCCTGGTCCGCATTGCCGGCAGTAAGTCGGGCTTGTTTCCGGTGAGAGTTGGACTCCGCCAAGGTTGCCCTTTGTCACCGATTCTGTTCATAACTTTTATGGACAGAATTTCTAGGCACAGCCAAGGTGTTGAGGGGATCCGTTTTGGTGGCCTTAGGATTGCGTTTCTGCTTTTTGCAGATGTTGTGTTCCTGTTGGCTTCATCAGATCGTGACCTACAGCTTTCGCTGGAGCAGTTCGCAGCAGAGTGCGACGTGGCCGGGATGAAGATCAGTTCCTCCAAATCCGAGGCCATGGTCTTGAGCCGGAAAAGGGTAGAGTGCCCTCTCCGGGTCAGGGAGGAGGTCCTGCCCCAAGTGGAGGAGTTCAAGTATCTTGGGGTCTTGTTCACGAATGAGGGAAAAATGGAATGTGAGATCGATAGGCGGATAGGTGCAGCGTCTGCAGTGAAGCGGGCACTGTACAGGTCTGTCGTGGTGAAGAGAGAGCTGAGTCAAAAGGCGAAGCTCTCAATTTACCGATCAATCTACGTTCCTACCCTCATCTATGGTCACGAGCTTTGGGTTGTGACCGAAAGAATGAGATCTCAGATTCAAGCGGCCAAAATGAGTTTTCTCCGCAGGGTGTCTGGGCTCTCCCTTAGAGATAGGGTGAAAAGCTCGATCATCCGGGAGGGACTCAGAGTAGAGCCGCTGCTTCTCCACGTCGAGAAGAGCCAGTTGAGGTGGCTCGGACATCTGTTTAGGATGCCTCCTGGACGCCTCCCTGGTGAGGTGTTCCGGACACGTCCCGCAGGGAGGAGACCCAGAGGAAGACCCAGGACACGCTGGAGGGACTATGTTTCTCGGCTGGCCTGGGATTGCCTCGGGATTCCTCCGGAGGAGCTGGACCAAGTGACTGGGGAGAGGGAAGTCGGGGCCTCCCTACTTAGGCTGCTACCCCCACGACCCGACCCTGGATAAGCAGAAGAAAATGGATGGATGGATGTTTTTATTTGAACACTTCTTGGGTCAGACCTTTTTGCTCTACGTCAGGTTGATGTCTCCTGGAGATCAGCCTGAGAAGAGGAGACGTGGCAGACCTAGGCTCGGTGAAGAACCATCTCATTACTTCCTCAGGATCTGCATGCTGGAGGACCCTCAGTCAGATGCTCTCTCAGAAACAGGTGAGTCTAAAACATCCAATCACGATGATGATGCTTGTCAAAGAGCTCCAGCTGAACTCGAACCTTTTCAGAGCTCCGCCGGTCTTCAGTGCTGGACCTGAAGTGTCCTCGTGGTCTACAGGAGGGGGAGTTTGTGGACCTGCTGAGGTCCACCTTACCTCAGCTGGCTGGTGGGGACAAAAAGTTCAACCTCTACAAATCTGATCGGAGCAAAAACCTTGTGAGGCTCAAAGTCAAGACGCTAACGCCAGAGAAGATCTACGGGAGCATGAACGCCACAGGGATCAGAAAGACTCTGCTCTACATCAAATTAAAGGTAAGAAAGACTGCTCTCCTTCAAATTAAAAGTAAAAAGACTGCTTCTAATTAAAAATAAAACTGCTCTTCAAAAAAACATGTTTATGACTACATCAAACTAAAGGTTAACACGATTGCTCTACATCAAACTGAAAGTAAAAGACTGCTCTACATAAAATTAAAAATATTGCTCTCCTTCAAATTAAAAGTAAAAAAAACCTGCTCTGCTTTGAATTAAGTTTAAAACACCTGTACATCAAACTAAAGGTTAAACTACTGCTTTACCGAAAATTAAATACAAAATATCGCTCTACATCAAACTGAATTAAAATACTGCTCTACATGAAATTAGAGGTTAAACAAGACCGCTCTACATTGATTTAAGTTCAAACTGAACGCTCTACATACAATAAAAACTTCAACTTCAAATTTAAGATACAAAAGATTGCTCTATGTGAAACTAAATGTAAAGAGACCGCTCAACATCAAATTGTATGTGGACCATCGGTGACTGGAGTCCAGGTGAGATGTTCGGCTGTTACAGACAATAATTTAGTTTATTTTTAGCCAGTTTAATTTTCTGTCTCAGGAGTTTTGTCCTCCTAAGTTTAAAATACAAACAGTTTAGAAAGATATTTTTAAACCCTTAAAAAATCTTTCAGACGGGCGAGAACGATGAGAGCGAGGAGGAGCACGAAGCTGAACGCCGAGTTTCCACGGATGGAGCGGTGATGGAACGTGAAGCCAGTTTGAGTTCAAGGTAATAAAAATAAAGAATGGTTTTTATTCAGACGGGGAAATAACGACTTGATCCATTGCATCTTCTTTAATTCAGTCGTACTTCAGACATGTCTTCTAAAGTCCCAGAAAGGTTCTCATCTGATGAAACGAGGGTCTGGTCTCCAGTTCTTCGGTCTTGGTGGACAGCACCTTCGTTGGCTGGAAGACGTTTCTTGTCATTTGTCTCGTTTTGTTCACGTCAGGAAGAATTTTGTCCCACTCCTCTTTATATAAACTAAATCCTTTTTTCTAACTTGAAGCTTCATCTCCCACCACAGGTTTAGTGTAGGGTTGAGGTCTGGGTACTAGTTGGACCACGACTTGGCCCTAATGTGTAAAAACTCTAACTTATTCATTCATTGTTGCCAGCCACTAGGGAGCATAAGCCAGTGTATCTCTCGTGCCGGTCCCAAGCCCGGGTAAATGGTGAGGGTTGTGTCAGGAATGGCATCGATGTAAAACACTTTTGCCAAAACTATAATGCGAGTTCATCAAAGAGAAACCATACCGGATCAGTCGAGGCCCGGGTTAACAACGACCTCCATCGGTGCTGTTGACAAACAGGGTGGCGGCGGAAATTGTGCTACTGTTAGTTGAAGACCATGAGGAGGGAAACGTGTCAGGAGACAGAGGAGAAGAGGAAAGTGAAGAATGTGGGACTGAGGGTTGCAACTCTAAATGTGGGGACAATGACAGGCAAAGGTAGAGAGCTGGCTGACATGATGCTGAGAAGGAAGGTCATTATCCTCACCCAAAGAGGGAGCTCGTGCAAGGAGCTCCAGACCAGGGGTGATTGTGTTTTCTTCTGTTGCTGAATAATGGCACCAACAGTCATCACCTTCTCACCATCTTCTTACTGATGGTCCAGTCCTGCCTCGGTCAGATCTACTGTCTGGTCCCTGATGCTGTTTAACAGCTGTTTGGTTTTACCCATGATGCTTTGCACAAATAATGAGTGATCAGGAGACCCTAACCAATCAGTGGGAGCCAACAGTCTGGTTGGATGTAGATCATCCAACCATCCATTTTCTTTATCCACTTTTTCCTGTAATGCTCGTCTCCAGCGAGTGGTCGTGCACGAGGCGGGGTAGTGGGGGGTCTGAGGATGAGACCTTTGTGTCCCTCTCTGTAAAGTGACAGTCTGCTGCACGCAGGCTTTAATACCTTCCTGCTTCTTTGCAGTTTAGAGCTTCAAAGAGGGAGCGCTCCGACCAACACCTCAACGTTACCACAAGATCAGGAGCTACAAGAGGCAGGAGCTGAGAGCAATGTGGGAGACCGGACTTTGGACCAAGATGATGACTGGAAACCGGATCCTGAGGAGCTTCTGTCCAAAAAGAGTAAAAGAAAAAGGTCTAAGAGGATCCTGGAGGAGGGAGAGAAGAGTAAAGAGCCCTGCAAGGTGTGTGGACTGTGGTACATGGCCTATGGGGGCTTGATCCGGCATGCGTGGAGTCATTTGGATGACCCGCCGAGCGTTTGTGGGGTGTGTGCAGAAAGTTTTGCATCTTCAGAAGAGCTTAAAGAACATCTTCAATCTCACCAGAAAACGAATCAATGTTCGTTCTGTGGGAAGGCTTTCATCACCACGACTGGCCTCAGCAACCACATGTCTCTGCACACCGGGAACCGGCCTTACAAGTGTCACGTCTGCGACAAGACCTTTGCCTCCGAGTCGGCACTGAACGGTCACCTCTGGGTCCACATGGAAAATAAACCTCTCAAGTGCGATTTGTGCCCGAGATCGTTTGGTCTGAAAGCACAGCTCAAGGCTCACAGGAAGTGGCACGCCGGCAGGGACAAGTACATTTGTAACATCTGCGGCAGGTCTCTCTACGACCTCAGGTCTTTGACCCGCCACAGATTTACTCACTCAGGCGAACGGCGTTTCAGCTGCGAAGTCTGCGGGAAGCGCTTTAAACTTCAAGGAACACTAAGGTCACACAAGAAGACCCATACTCACAGGGATCGATCGTACCTCTGCCACATCTGCTGCAAAGCCTTCTTCTCTAACTCCACCCTGATGATCCACATGAAAACTCACAGCGGTGAGCGGCCCTTTGTCTGCAGCGTGTGCGGTAAAGGGTTCCTGAACAGTTCAGAGCTTAAAAACCATACGCGGGTTCACACGGGTGAGGCACCGTATGGATGCTCCGAGTGCGGACGCTTCTTCAAGCTCAGAAGCACCCTGAAGTCCCACATCTTGACCCACTCCGGCATCAAACGGTTCACCTGTGGACTTTGTGGGAAAGCGTGTTCTCGTCAGGAACACTTGAAGATCCACATGAGGACCCACAACGGAGAGAGACCTTACAAGTGCTCCCTCTGCGAGAAAGACTTCACCCAGAGCCACTGTCTGAAAACGCACATGAAGAGCCACCAGACCGGAGAAAGCCCCGTCGTGGAACCGTCCACGTCTGAAGCAGCCCCCTCGCAAGTCTGAAGACGAGGACGGGCATCGTTTGAGTAAAATGTTTGTTTAAAGTTTATAAAAACAGGCACAAGAATTAATCCGGTGCCAGAACTTCTGTGTGCAAACCTACGTCTGACAGAACAAGCGTGTCTGGATTTAGTATTTAAATTCATTACACCTTCACCTGAACCCCCTGCCCTTTGACCCCTGCAGGTCAAAGACTGGACATAAATGTAATGTTTGAAGTTATCAAGCAGCTTCTGACGTCTCTTCAGATTCATTGACCTGTTCTGGGTTCAACAAGTCTTTGGTTTCTAAGAGATTTTTAAGATTTATGAACCAGTTTTCACGAAGTCGATCAATTTACACTCAGTTCTGGTGAGAGTTTACTCTTGTGTTTAGATGAAACGACACTAAAGTTAAAAACCCAGGATTATCTGAACGATTGTTTTTAACACGTTAAGACCTGGTAAACACGTGGCAGCTGAAACAATATTATAATTCTAATATTTTCTAAAATAATGTGTGAATTTCAGTAATTTTCTTCTGGTTGTTCGATACAAATCATTTTGCAGAAATGTTCTTTAGTTAAAAACTGAATGAAATGTGATGTTTTGTTTGAAGCTCAGACTTGTTTTCTCACAATGAACAAAAAAACAGTCAAACGGTTGTTTTTAACAAATATTTCAGTAACTTTTTTCACATTCTCGTTTTAGAAACTCGTTTAAAAACGTCTCATCGCCAAATAAATGAACCGATAAAAAGGAAAACATCAGTTTTCATGGTTTGAAACACGTTTTATTTTTATTAGAGAGTTCGACAGATGCAGAATGTTTTATTTAGCACATTTTGTAAAATCAAGAAAATAACACCTTTTGTAAACACGTGATTTTATAACTGAACAGTTTATTAAGTGTCAAAGGTTTAATTTGTAAATGCACGTGGCGCTCGTGCACGTGATGTTTGGGACTTTTGAGATCCGTGAGGTCTCGTTTGTTTGTTCTGCGTTGATCTGCTGAGGGAGCTCGAACGTTCGGTGCTGATGTTGGCGACGTCCAGCCGGCGGCACCGTTTCCCATCATCAACTGGTGAAGGTTGAAGCTGAACTGGAGACCAACACAAGCCTGGTTTGTCCACAGGTGAGTTTGGTTTCACCTCAGTTTGTCTGGCGCTGTTCAGTTTCTTATTGTTTAGCCTGTTCTGTAATTATTTTGAGCGAGTCTTAAAGAAAGTGGGTCTGAGCTGCGTCATGATGCTGATGGTTTCTGCTGGTTCTAGTTTATCGTCCGCTGAACTGCTGGAGAGAAGAGCAGAAACAAGTCTTGACACAGATTCAGGGTGACGCTTCGACCCTGAGGCTGTTTCAGTGGTTTATTAGAGTTGTTTTGATTTGGACTAAAACAGAAAGTTGGAAATCTTTAAATGTCTCTACAAAAGGCTGAAAAGTCATAAAATTGAATATATTTTAACAATGACAGAGTAGACGGTCCACGCAGAGTTCTTCTTGGATATGAAACCCATAAAAATTGTTTTTGTTTGTTAGTTTTATTCAACTTAACGTTTCTAGTAACTGTTGATCAGTCCTGCACACCAGCTTGGAGAACTTTGAGCCCATTCCCCGTACTGTTAGATATTTATCTAGACTGGTCCTGGGGTTTTTGATCTGCTCAGAACCGGGTCATAATTTCATTATAATCTCGTCTCTGCAAAAACTCCAGGACCAGTCTAGATAAATATCTAACAGTACAGAACAGCTTCACCTCTGGATGTTGTCACGTCACCTCTGTTTTTAGTTTTCTACATTTGTCTTGGAATCTAGCTGTTTTTTGTTTTGTTACCTTTTTCCTTTTAGCCATCCTATTTGTTAAAAAAACAAAAAAAAACTGCAGTATGACTTTTTATAACTGTTTATTGTTGTTGCTGTTGTCCATTGTTGTCATCTTTCTTTGTTGAAATCAGGTCTCTCTTGTAAATGAGTCCTCGAGGCTCAATGGGATTTACCTGTAGAAATAAAGGTTGATTGATGTTGGTGGTTTCCTCACATTAACTGCAGCTTCAGGTCCTTCCACAACATCTGGATTGGATGAAGGTCAGGACTTTGACTTGGCTGTTCCACAACATGAACTTTATTCTTCTTGAACCTTTTTTGGTAGAACGTTGTTTGCTGAGGGTCATTGTCTCGCTGCATGATCCACCTTCTCTGAGATTCAGTTCATGGACAGATGTTCTGACATGGTCCTCTAGTATTCTCTGATATAATCAGAGTCAGTCAGAGTCAGAGTTTCTTTATTGTCATTCGCACCTCATGTGGTACATGTGGTGGAGCGAAATTATGTACACAGGGTCCCAGTTACATCCAACAATAAAATGTATAAGAAAAACAGTAATAACATCTAAGATATGAACTAAGAAAAACATCAACTAAATATACACTAAGCACTCATAACATAAAACATTGAACATCAGCACAAACATGAACATGAGTCTGTGAGCAGATGTGCACGCATGAACACATCAACATTGAAACAGATCAGCAGCAGCATGAAACAGATCAGCAGCAACATGATATGGTTTTTCACAGTGATTATTCTGGTTAGAGATTCATGAGTCTAACAGCCTCAGGGTAGAAGCTGTTCCTCAGTCTAGTGGTTCTACACTTAATGCTCCTCAACCTTATTCCTGAGGGGATCGGTGCAAAAAGTGTGTGTGCTGGGTGAGTGGGGTCCTTCATGATGCAGGTGGCCCTCTTCCTGCATCTGGAGGTGTAGATGTCTGTGATGGTGGGGAGACTGATTCCAACAGATTTCTGTGCAGCCTTCACCACTCTCTGCAAAGCTTTTCTTTCTGCAGCTGTGCAGCCTCCATGCCACACATTGATGCTCGAGCACAGGATGCTCTCCACTGCACACCTGTAGAAGGAGGTGAGGACTGAGCTTCCCAGACCAGCTCGCCTCAGCCGTCTGAGGAAGTAGAGTCTCTGATGAGCTTTCTTGATCAGGCTGGTGGTGTTGTTGCTCCAGCTGAGGTTGTCATTCATGTGTACACCCAAGTACTTGTAGCTGGAGACCACTTCCACCGCAGATCCTCTTATGTTCAGGGGGGTGTAGGTGTTTTTGTTCCTTCTGAAGTCCACAATCATCTCCTTTGTCTTCTTCACATTGATGTGAAGGTTATTCTCTCTGCACCAGCTCTCCAGGTGTTCCACCTCTTGCCTGTAGCTGGACTCATCATTGTTTGTGATGCATCCCACCACCGCTGTATCATCTGCAAACTTTACAATGTGACAGCCTGGATGGGTAGCTGCACAATCATATCAATCAACCTTTATTTCTACAGGTAAATCCCATTGAGCCTCGAGGACTCATTTACAAGAGAGACCTGATTTCAACAAAGAAAGATGACAACAATGGACAACAGCAACAACAATAAGCAGTTATAAAAACTCATACTACAGTTTTTTTTTTTTTTTTTTTTTTTTTTTTTTTAAACAAATAGGATGGCTAAAAGGAAAAAGGTAACAAAACAAAAAAAAACAGCTAGATTCCAAGACAAATGTATAAAATGTGAGCAGAGTAAACAGAAGGGGGCTCAACACACATCCCTGAGGAGAGCCAGTGCTGAGGGTTATGGTGGAGGAGGAGAGGTTGTGGATCCTCACTAACTGTGGTCTGTTTGTTAAGAAGTCTAGTACCCAGTTGCAGATGGAGGGGCTTAGTCCTGGTGTGGATAGTTTGTCCATCAGGGTTTGGGGGATCATGGTGTTGAAGGCGGATGTGAAGTCCACAAAGAGCATACGGACGTAAGAGTTTTTCTGCTCCAGGTGGTTGAGTGCAGTGTGGACCACAGAGGAGATTGCATCCTCTGTTGATCGGTTCTCACGGTATGCATACTGATGAGGGTCCTCGTTGATGTTGATGGTTGTTTTGATGTGAGTCATGACCAGTTTTTCGAAGCTTTTAGCGACTATCGGGGTGAGGGCCACTGGCCGATAGTCATTCAGACCAGTCACTGTAGAGCTTTTTGGGACTGGGATGATGGTGGCAGTCTTCAGGCAGGTGGGAACTGTCTCCAGGGTAAGTGAGGTGTTAAAGATGTCTGCCAGCACCTCACAGAGCTGATCAGCACATTCCTTCAACACTTTTCCTGGGATGTTGTCTGGGCCAGTTGCTTTGTGCAGATTAATCCTCCTGAAGGTCCTCCTTACTTCTGCTGAGGTCACGCTGAGATGCTCTTCATCCGGTGGCGAGGTGAGTCTGGTATATAATCCAGAATTCATTCATAATCCAGACATCCTGACCTCTGTGTGAAAATCTGATGATGTTTTAGGTCAAATTTATCAGTGCTTCCTCTATAACTTGACGTGGTGGGGCGCTCGTATCATCCATGATTTTTGTCGACTGCCGGGGGGGGGGGGGGGGGGGGGG